GAGCCGCGTGCCAAACGTTGCCGACCCCTGAGCTAGATCATCCCCTACATTAGGGCAGCTTTGCCCTACTGCACTGGTGCAAAGCTATCCTAAGGACGGCTTTCCCAACGACTAGAAAAATCCCCTTGAGAAGGGGAATCCTTAGATGGCACAGAGAAAGTGTATGGGTTGTGTTGTGATAATTGGCTCGACAAAGTTACCTTAAGATCCATTGTAAAAAGTATGTGAACGTTCATAAAATGTTACAATAACCTCAAAAAATAGGTCAGTTGTTTACGACGATGAACGTTACAATAGATTCAAGAAAACCAGACAGAGAAACTATTAATCCAACCCAAATGCCCTACTGATATAAATCAAGGACTGTGGTGAGATTATACTTGGTAAACAAGAAAATGTGGGAACAAAGTTACCTGTGCCAAATTTGGCCTTACAGAAATGGATTTAACTGGTGGACAAAACAACAAGGATATATGCCACCAACTTTTACTCCTTTTGGGGGTTCTTAAAAAGAGATTTTGAGGCAGTTCATCCCCACAGTTCATCCCCCAATGTGCCAGCACTTCAATGCCTCTCAACTCTTCTAAAGGACTCACTTCCTGAGAGGAAGGCTGGCTGGCCTTGCTCTTGTTTAAGGAACTTCGTCTTCCCATTTAAGTGCTGAAAGTCATCATATTATCTTGACATCCAGTCTTCAGCCCACCAGCTGGAATATCTAATTCCCAGCACCACAAAGGTACCTAAGATCCTGTATTGTATTCCCTTCCCTTGTTGTGTTATTTCCTGCCTACTGTTTCTTTCCTCTTATCCTATCTCACTAATGTGGGTTTTCATCAAATCCCAAAGTCAACTATGCTGCATTCATCTAAACCTGCCTTGTCTAAAGAGAAAGAATCCAAACAGATGACAGCCCTGACTAAATCATAACTAACCAGAGTCCAAGCAGCAGGTGTTGTGGTCAATGTGCCAGCCAAAGCATCCACTCATAACTAACCAGAGGTCTAGCATTCCAAAAACATCAACAAAAGCCATATTTCATCCATCTTTTCTATCCTGTCTCTCCTCCACCTTCTGTCCATCTGTTTGTTAAGAACTGGATAAGTGAATGCCCTTCACATCAGGGCTAATAGTAAAATGAACCTTTTCCTTTTCATCAAAGAAAGGTTGTTCTGAAAATAAGAGACTCTGATACTTTAACTCCAAAGGGAGTTTGATAAGTCTGATAGGAGAGGGGACTTTGAAGTTTGTTTTGTATAATCACTTAACTACAGTTTCAATATAAATCTTGTTTTACTTTCTTCTTTGTGTGGAAGTGTGAGAGTTTAATCCATACATTTTCAATTTGAATGAATGCTTTTGGGTGTTTGCCAAGTAACCAAGTAAAACCAAGGCCTCTGTTTAAAATTAACCCCAAACCTATCTATCACCATTTAACGTTGACCAGTGATGAGTTTATAAACACCTTAAACTCTTTAGGCCTTTGAGATCAATATCCATACAACAATTCCCCTGCTATCCCCACACCTTTGCACTTTCTCAGCTGTGAGAGTACTGAGGATCTAGCCCAGATATTTTACTCTGAGACACACTGCTGACAAGTCACGTTTCAAGGGATGTTGTCAAGATTGGTACATTTAAATTTAGACCTACTGAACTAGCTTTGTTTTAGTTACCATCCCACTGCTCTGTCAGCCTGCTCTACTCCTGTGCCCAGGCAGGCTATTGAAAGTCGCAAGCATTCGGAACTGACCTACCCACCACCTTTTTAATCTCACTCTTATTTTTCTTCTATTGGCAGCTTCAGCTCTCTTCTCCCCACCCTCATACTTTCCCCACAAATAACCAGCTGGCTGTGCTGCTGGCACAAATAATTATTGGCAATCCCGAAGACATGCTTAGTATTCACTGTTCATGTCCACTTAGCGACATGCAGATGACCATGCTATCTTCATAACACTGGGCCACTTGCTGTATTTTAACGGTTAGGCACATTAATTATTCCACGGGATTTTAAAAGTGTAGTTATTAGGTTATCTAGTAATTAAATTCTAATTAAATCTCCTTTGGAGGGCTAGGTGGTGTAATTGCTGAGGCTCTCCAATAAATATCCTCTTTGGAGACTTGGATTCAACTCCTGATTTAGATAATAAAAGACATGAATGTGGGGATCTTATTATCTGCTCATGTTTCA